AAAAAACAATATGTAATTATATATGTGTTTTCCGATGGTCTTAGGTGACCCCTGTCAAAGGGTCATTCGACCCCCAAAGGGGTCGCGACCCACAGGTTGAGAACAGCTGAGCTAGATACAAACATATATATATTGGAAAAAGACTAGAATATAATGTGTCAGATCTTATTAGTTGCTATCTCTGAGTACGTGATTTTTGTTTTCTTTTTTATAATTTTCTGAAATAAGCATTTGCTATATTTGAAATAATAAAACAATTTAAAATTTAGTAAGAAGACTGCATGAGAAGCATGGAAGATGACTTTGAAAATGTCTGTCTCCTTGGGTCACTCCCTCATCCTATAACTTTGACAACTAATATTCCTTATGAAATAAGGGATTCTTTTCTGCAGATTTTTGAAGGAAAAAGATTTTTGTTGTGTCTCGCTTTCTGAGAGGGCCATGTTCTTTTTGGGGTTGGACAGACAGTTTCAGCCAGACCAGAGTTCCTGATGGGAGTTTCTTCCAGGCATGCACTCACTGGAGCAGTTATGCCTCCTTCTGACCAGACTAGGGGGCGGGGAAAGTCAGACTGCCAGTGCTGGAGCGCCACCTTGTGGCCACATGCATCCTTCCCCAAAGTAGCATGATGCCTAAGCATTTCCCCACCGTAGAACCCTGGCAGCATCTTAAAGTCAAACTAGTTACTAAGCACTGCATTAACCATTCTGTAGAACTTCCAGCTTCTAATGCCCTAGAACTTTGGGTGCTAGAGAAGTTCTGCTGAATTGTGAAATAACTTGATGTACTAAGAAGAGTCAGGGACCAAGTATGTGATTGAGTGATGCTTGGAAGGCCCTAAACACGTCTACCTGGCCCTCTGAGAATGAACACTCCCCACATGCCCACACTTCTTCACCTTTCTCTCCTTCTTCCATACAGACTTCAAACCCCATGAAACAAAAGAAATATAAGACCCAAATGCAAACGCCCTTGGAGATGGGTCAGTCCCTGGGAAGTATATTTACACCCAGGTACAGGTGACTTTGCAGATCCTCTCATGAGTCCATCTTTTGAGTGATTGGCTGTCATCCTGAGTTTGGGGGTAACTTATTTTCTTCATTAAAGACATCTATACTAATAATAGAGAAATATGCAAATTGTTTGGGATGCCATCACAGTAATGATAACGACTGAACAGCAGGCTGCATGAGGCAACAAGGCCGGCAGGGAGGTTAGTGAGGAACAACCAAATGACTGAACAGCAGGCTGTGTGGGGCGACCAGGCAGGCTGGGGGCAGAGCGGGGGGAGACAGTTAGGGGCAATCAGGCCAGCAGAGGGAGCAGTTGGGGGTGACCAGGCCAGCAGGGGCAGTTGTGGGGATGACCAGCTGGCAGGGGATGTAGTAAGGGGCGAGCAGGCCATGGGGTGGGCAATAAGGAGCAACCAGGCCGGCAGGGGGGAGTTAGGGGCAACCAGGCCAGCAGAGGGGGCCAATTGGGGGCAATCAGGCCAGCAGTCAGAGGCAGTTAGGAGTTTTGCAGTCCTGGATTGCGAGAGGGGTCCCAGATTGGAGAGGGTGCAGGCTGGGCTGAGGGGATGCCCCCCCCCGCCCCCAGTGCACAAATTTCGTGCACCAGGCCTCTAGTATATAATAATTTATTAGGATTTCTTAGCCTCCTTGTAGCTCCTGTTCCTGACTCTGAATTGGGAATCTAGATAACCCCTCATGACTCAAGACTCACTGGACCAAGAGTTGCAGATGAAAACAAAAATCAATTTTCTGGACCTACCTCTAGGAAACATTCTAGAGTGGGCGTCAACAAAGTTTTTTCTAAGGACTAGATATAAATATTTAAGGCTTTGTGGGTCATATGGGTTAAGTCACAACTACTTAATTCTATCAATGTATCATGAAAACAGCCAGAGACAATACATAAAAAATGGTGTGGCTGTGTTCTAATAAATCTTTATTTTAAAAAAAGCAGGTGGTGGGTCCTAATTGTGGACCCCTCCTGTAGAGAGAATGTGCTGGGTATGACATTAGAAATCATCCTAACAACACTCATTTTACAGATGGTGGAATGCAACCAAGAGAGGCAAAGAGCTAGACTAGTCCATGCCTGCCAGCTTGAAAGAAGGTATGTAGCCTCCTTTCAGCTCTGAGAGTGTCTGCAAGGCACACACACTTCCTTCACAGAAGTCCTGTTGTCCTTCCTCTTATCAACACCTGCTTTGGAGAAATGGCTGGTAATGTGTGGTATCATCAGTTCCTCTCACTTTTCTGTAAAAGGTCTGTCCTATCCACGCTCTAGTCTAGGCCCGTGGTCGGCAAACTGTAGCTCGCGAGCCACATGCAGCTTTTTGGCCCCTTGAGTGTGCCTCTTCCTAAGCCTTAGGAGTACCCTAATTAAGTTAATAACAATGTACCTACCTATATAGTTTAAGTTTAAAAAATTTGGCTCTCAAAAGAAATTTCAATCCTTGTACTGTTGATATTTGGCTCTGTTGACTAATGAGTTTACCGACCACTGGTCTAGGCCAGTGATGGCGAACCTTTTGAGCTCGACGTGTCAGCATTTTGAAAAACCCTAACTTAACTCTGGTGCCGTGTCACCTAGAGAAATTTTTTGATATTTGCAACCATAGTAAAACAAAGATTTATATTTTTGATATTTATTTTATGTATTTAAATGCCATTTAACAAAGAAAAATCAACCAAAAAAATAAGTTTGTGTGTCACCTCTGACACGCATGTCATAGGTTCGCCATCACTGGTCTAGGCCATTCCTACCTGATTTATACCATAATCAATTATCAAGGGCTTACTAATTGCCGACACAGTGCCAGGTGCCTGCCATTTATATATCATTTCATCCTCTATACCAGTGGTTCTCAACCTTGGCTGCACATTAGAATCACCTGGGAATCTTTTTTTTTTTTAATTTTTTATTACAAAGGGTATTACATATGTGTCCATTTTTCCCCCCGCCCTAGACAGTCCCCTAGCCTCCCCTATCACCTGGGAATCTTTTTAAAATCCTGATTTCTGGGCCTCATCCTCCGGAAATTCTAGTAACACCCCCCCGCCCCCCCAACAAAGAAACAGAATTTCCAAAGGATGAGGCCCAGAAATCAGGATTTTAAAAAGATTCCCAGGTGATTCTAATGTGCAGCCAAGGTTGAGAACCATTGCTCTAAACAATCTTATTAGGTACTAGAGGCCCAGTGCACGAAATTTGTGCACAGGTAGGGTCCCTAGTGGCTGCTGGCTGCCGGCCGGGGCCTCCCTTCGTTCTGTGCCACTCCCTAGTGGTCAGTGCACATTATAGCGAGAGATCGAACTCCCAGTCGGTCGAAATCCCAAGGGGACACTTTCCATTACATATATATATATAAACTTCTTTTAGCAAATGAAGAAACAGAGATTAACCCCTTCCCCAACAATTTTTTTGTTAAAAACGTTTCTTTTTCAGACTAATTTTTTTATTTCAGTTCTATATAGTATTTTTGATGCTGGTTATGAAAACAGTTTGTAACTCGTCTTCCTATAAACCATATTTTTTTACCATATTTTCTTAGTATACTCATCGATGACTAAAAAAGAACATTTTGTGAAAACGCGTATACACGTTTCTGCCGGGGAAGGGGTCAAAAATACAAGGGAGACAGAGAAATGTTTTTCTTTAGGGCAGCTTTGTGTTTGGCCATCACTTTTAATACAGTTTAACAAAGATTTTGGGGGGGGAATATTATTTTTTTAATTAACCTTATTGGAGTTT